TGTACTGTGTGTGTGTGTGTGTGTGTACTGTGTGTGTGTGTACTGTGTGTGTGTGTGTCTGCTGCCCAGACTCTTATTTAAGCCTCTGTTGCCATGGCAACCGCTCCCTGCTTTCTTTCCTCACTGTAATTACAGGTCAGCATCCCAACGCCCACACACACACACGTATATACTTTTATATATATATATATATATACACACACACATATATATTTAACGATATAGATATATACACACACACATATATATTTAACGATATAGATATATATCTATATCTATCTATCTATACATATATACACACACACACACACACACACACACACACACAGGCATCTGTCCTCCCTCATGTTCAGCCTTTCATCTCTTCAGGTATTTAATCTTCTGCAGCTATTTGGTTTTTAAAAGGTGACATATTAATGACTTAAATATGACTTAACTATGTGAGGACAGGAGATGTTGAATCGGAGGTTAATCAGACCACAATGATAAGTGATGTTTCATTCCTCAGAGATGAGGAGGAGTTGAGGAAGTCCATGTCTGAGCTGGCTGAGGTCCGGACAGACTCCGCCTCCCACACTATGAGGAGACTGGGCAGTGGAGGAAACCCGCTGGTGGGCGTCGACCAGCAGGCCGACGGAGAGCTCTACAAGAGCGGCTTCCTGGTCCGAAAAGTCCACGCCGACCCCGACGGGAAGAGAAGTATGTCTACCTTCTCCTACCTCTTCTTTGTCTGCTTCTTCTTCTTCTTCTTCTACTTCTTCTACTTTAACTTCTTCTGCTTCTTCTTCATAACCAGCGTGTTTTGTTGATGTTGTGGCGATAGAACAATAGAAAAGGAGGTGTGCTCTGTCTCTACCTTCAGGGACTATTTAGTCTGAATTCATACATTATGTATCTGAACTCGTGATGTGTGGAGTTCCCCAAGGCTCCATCCTGGGTCCTCATCTCTTTACCATGAGAAGCAAAACTATTAATTATTACAATAATATTATACAGACGACACCTGAATTTACCTTCACCAAGCAACTATAGTCATAATGTGTGTGTGTGTATATATACACACAGTATATTAGCTGACGTTTCTGAGGCCCAGGACGACGGACATTTAAAGCCACATCTCTTGATGTCTGATATATCCCATGATGCCTTGTTTCTCCCAGCTCCTCGGGGTAAGAGGGGGTGGAAGTCTTTCTACGCGATGCTGAAGGGTCTGGTGCTCTACCTGCAGAAGGTAAACATCTGAACTGCGTGTCCCAGCAGTCCCGCTGTTTCATACATGGCAGCCTCTCCACGTTAAGTGTCTATTTTTAACTGTGTTCGTCCCAGATGGGATGTGAGAACAGGACAAACCATGTGGGTCAAACAAGTCTTTCTGTCCTCATACTTTGTTTTTACTCTCAGAAGTTTCCCCACATAACCAAGAAACATGATCATCGAAAACAGGAAGTTCCATTTTACATCATGATAGAATATTTTCATGTTTCAATGACATATTTTGTCTTTATTTCTACATATAATATATTTAGTTTTTGTGTTTAATATTTCAGTTATTTCTTCTATATTTAAACTTCCTTGTTCAGCCCTGTGTATAAACTGGCTATGAATGAATTATCTTTGTCATCTTTTGTGAAAACATGATGAGTTAGTGTAGTAACTAGGGTTGGGTACCGAAAACCGGTGCTAATATGGCACCAGTTCCTATACAACCGGTACCTACCGAAACGCAACGCAGATTTCGGTGCTTCCTTTCGGTGCCTGAGCCAATTGAAATACTTTTTTTACACTACTCTGATGACTCCATCCTGGCAGCAGGTAACGAGAGCCTCGGTCCTCCGCTCCTCACTCACAGTATTATTACAACCGGACGAGCCGTGCGCGCTTAGAAACAAACCCCTCCATCATTCTGGCGAAGCTTCGGCCATGATTTATTTTTAAAAAAAAACGAGAACGAGATCTGTCAAACGGCTGGCAGGCTACTGACTTCCTCCATCAACATCCAGGTACTTAGCGCTGCCGCTCATAAGCACAACATCCACAGGCACGCGAAACCTTCTTCTTCTTCCTTGAGGTGTAGTGGCGGTTGGCAAATGATGAATTGGCGCATTCCCGCCACCAACTGGTAAAATAAAATTAGTCAGGAGAGGTGTCGTATTTTGCCAGAGAAGGCAAATATGCTCATATTTCTGCAAAAGAATTGCTGAAGTTTGAAGCTGTAGTGTGTGTACAGAGTGTGTGTGTGTCTATTTATATTTATTTAAGTATACTGTAAACTGTTGTTCACAGTTAATATATTGTTCATAGTTTGAAGTTAAAAAGTTTGAAGCTGTAGTTTGAAGCCAAGTGTTTTGTATTTATTTATATTTATAGTATACTTTAAACAGTTAATATATTGTTCAATTTGAAGACATTTTTTTGCCTTGGCAATAAAAAAAGCCTTTTAATGTCGTCAATCATCGTTTTTTTAAGTATCGGTTCAGGCACCGTTTAGGCACCGGTATCGGAAAAAACCCAAACGATACCCATCCCTAGTAGTAACACTGTAGACGACATCGGCTGGAAGAACTTTCTATCTTTGCGGAATAATTTGGTTTGTAGAAATATAAAAACTAACTAAAACATAAAGAGGTATTTGTTTTAGTCCCGAAAACAATGCTTTCTGGGACTTGTAGTTGACTTCGTGAGTGTTGGAGCAGGTTTGAAGGTGATTGGCTGACTGATATCACGCCGCTCTGTGATTGGCTGACAGGATGAGTTCCGTGCGGAGCGCGAGCTAACGGAGGAGGACGTGAAGAACGCCGTCTCCATCCATCACTCTCTGGCCATGAGAGCAGCCGACTACAGCAAGAGACCCAACGTCTTCTACCTGAGGACGGCCGACTGGAGAGTCTTCCTGCTGCAGGCTCCGTAAGGCTCTGTCTGTCTGTCTGTCTGTCTGTCTTTCCGTCCATCCGTCCACTAAACCAGAAGACCCTTGTGGTCTCCTCCTTGTGCCCTCAGCAATGCAGAACAGATGCAGTCGTGGATCACGCGCATCAACGTGGTGGCGGCCATGTTTTCCGCCCCCCCGTTCCCAGCGGCCATCGGGTCCCAGAAGAGGTTCAGCCGTCCTCTTCTGCTGGGATCCAACACCAAACTGTCCCAGGTACAGACCTCAGCCTTCCAGATCCTCCTCAGGTAAAGAGTCCCAGCGTCCGTGATCACGTCTGTTGAGTCTCTCCACGTCTGTCCCCCCCCCCCCCGACAGGAAGAGCAGGTCAAATCCCACGAGAACCGGTTCAGGGCGGTCTCCTCCGAGCTGGCCGACCTCACGGCCTCCACGCCGGACCTCAAGGTGAAAGGTCGCGAGCTGGAGGAGCAGAAACTCCGACAGGAGTACCTCGAGTTCGAGGTATGTTTCACAGAGGGGAGGACACCTTCACTGTAACCATGGTAACGGTACAGGATATTATGGTCTGTAGTGGACATTCAGACGTACAAGGACAGACGCAAAGTTACTGCAGCTTTCGAGTCCAAATGTCCCTCCTTCATGACAAACAACCAGAAGAGACACAAGAGGGAGGTGCTAGACACAAGAGGGAGGGGTTAGACACGAGAGGGAGGGGCTGAACGTGAGAGGGAGGGGCTAGATGCAAGAGGGAGGGGCTAAATAAGTTACAACTGGAGCAGTCGCCCCCTGATGGGCACTAGAGAGAATGCAGCTTTAACACGTGAAGCTCTGACTTCCCTCTACTGAAGCGGAGGTTGTCTCCTGGTGAGTCACTGCAGAACGGGCTGATCAGAGATCATTTTAATAGAGACTAATATGTTGTTGTATAATCTCAGGACGGACCAGCAGCAGATTACTGCGGCTGTAGTTATTCGTGAGCGTCAGTCCATCAGTTTGATTCGTCAGGTGTGATCATAGAAGAGCAGCTTTACATCCAGTCTAAATGCACTTTGCTCTGTTCTCTGGAAGAAAAGCGTAACAAAGTACTGCAGAGAACGTCCCGTTAGTTCAGTTCAAGTCTCACAACGACACAAACACAGTCTGTGTCTGTGTAGAGCACAGATAACAGTCAGGGCTGTCTGACTCAAAGGTGAATGTAATAAATATAACTGATTACTTTGCTCCGTCTACTGTAGTAGTACACTGACTGTGTAGAAGTACCTCATACAAGCTTCTAAACATCACTACTGTCCCTTAAGTCGTTTAGAGCGTCTTCACTTTCACCTCACAGACTCAGAACAGCAGCAACATCACAAGATTATGGTTTATGTTTGAGCTCAGTGCGTACAGGTCATCTGAAGACATCACTCTGATCTCAGAGACGTTTCACTGGAGAGGATTTAAACGTAGAAGCTGATCTTAGTTCAGAGCTCGAGGTTGAGTTGCGTTCACACCAAACACCAGTTACAGCGAGTTATTAGAGGAGACGTACAAAGTCAATGCAGCTCATTGAAATGATTCTAAATTATTATTAATATTCTTTATTCACATAACATCCTCCGAGGATCTGCGTGGGTCTCATTGATGAGTCCCACTGTGTCTCCTGTTCACTACAGCTGTAAGAACACTAAACACGCTCTGATACATAACGTCTTCATGATGATAACTTGTAAAAAGTCTGAATTCATCTTTTATTTCTGTCCTCAAGACGACAAACAAACTGAATGGAGTCTGGTTTGATCGGTGCTATGCTAAGCTAACATTGTAGCATCTCCATCAACACTCAACATGACATCTAGACGTAAATGAACAAACAGGAGTCATATTATGGGATGTTTGTACAGGCGAGAGGAGACGTGACGACAGAGTAAAAACATCGTCTCATTATGAGCAGTGGTTGTTTCTAAAGGTTTGTTCTTGTTAATAAAGTTTTATTAAAGAGAGACTTCCTGATGTGTCTCGTCTCGGTCCCGGTCCACAGAAAACCCGGTACGGGACGTACGCCATGCTGCTGCGGGCCAAGCATGCGAGCGGAGACGAGGACCTGTCGGCCTTCGAGTCGCGGCTGTTTGACGACGGCGGCCTGCAGAGGGCACACTCCAGCCCCACGCTGCCTCAGGACGCCGCCCAAAAGGACAAGACCCGCGGAGCCAAGACCTCCAAGAGCCTCAAGGGCACCTCGTCCTCGTCCTCCAGGACCGACGCCCAAGAGGGAAGCAAGAAGAAGAACGGCGGCGGGAACAACCAGCAGCCAGAGCCGCAGAAACAGGAAGTGGCGCCGTAAGGCGGCGAGGACATGAAGGACATGAAGGACATGAAGCATCATGAAGGACAGGATGCATCATGGGTAGCAGGCTGACATCGTCCTTTAAACCTTTTCTGTTCAGTCACATTCTGATTGGCTCAGGGGACTTTCCTCCAGCCGAGACGTTCGAGGTCTGTGGGAGATGAGAGCTCGTCTACGAGGACGACGAGCAGAGAGCGTTGTTGTATTTTTTTTTTACGAGTTGAAACGTTCAGGAAACACAAACAAGGTTTTATTTCTCATCCAATCATCAAAGTTTCAGAGTAAGGGGACTTTTATTTTGTTAAATGAAACTCAAACACTTCGTCGGTACTTTTGATGTTGTTTTGAACTCCTGCAGCAAAGTGGGGGGGTGGGTTACCATGGCGACCAGATATGACAGACAGAGTGTGGGACTGTTGCCGGTAGGGGGGGGGTACAGCAGTACTGTGTGTACTCACAGTAATACACTGAGTACTCACAGCAGTACTGTGTGTACTCAGTGTAGTACTGTGTTATGTGAATACTATCTGAAGGCTGAAGATGATCATTGAAACTGAGCATCAAATATGAATAAGTCAACCTTTCATCAGCAGACTGAGTTCATTATATATTTATATATAATAAACAAACAATATGAATCATTAGAATGAACTCCCATGAGATGATATTAATAATAATAATAGTTTTAAGGTTCTTTATTACATTTCATCACATTTACAGACGGTGATATTTAAAACCTATATTCTTCATTGTTCTGTGTGACAGAAGCTCTGACGATCGATCACGTCGTCTCTCATCATCTATAATTCATAAGATACCTGGAGACCTGTTGTGTCTCTGGTCCTTCATGGACTTCCTGTCTTTGCTGGAACCTGAATCCTGAATGAATCCGTCCACTTTGTTTGTTTCTTCTTCTCTTAAACGTTCACCTTGAGCTGCAGCCATCTTGTTCTGCTGTCAGACAGCAGGGCTTTCTGGGTAATGCAGTCCTTCCTCATGCAGCTCCCTCCTGCTGCCCCCTGAGGTCTCCAGAGTCTGTGTCCTGGTTTGAGATCAGAGTACAAACAGCAGGGAGAAGTACTTCAAGTACTCATGAAGCAGAACAATATGAATCACATCATTGATGTGTTCATATAATCTATAATAATACATCATGTATCAGCTGATTCAGTCATCTTTGGTTCACTTCCTGTGAGGTCATCATGAGATTCAACAGGAACCAGATGTAAGGACAGGAAGCGGTCACCAGGTGGCAGCAGAGAGGAAGAGAACTGAAATATGACGATTAATCCTGAATGTTTAAATGATGCACAAACAGCTGGAACCTCCAACAGGTTCAACTCTCTGAACGTTTGGACTGTTGCTGATGGACTGATGGTCCTCCAGGAGTTAGTCTGGTCCAGCTTTGGTTGGTTCTCTTAGAAAGTCTTAAACTGCACATTTCAAAGGTACTGAGAGAACTGAAACCAAGGAGGTCTCTTAACGATCCACATCCAGTCCAACAGACTGAGGACTCTGTAGTCTGGCTGGAGGCGGCTCAGACCCGGACCACACTGAAGATCTCCTAGAAGGAGCTGCTGGACGAGTCTTTAAGTCTCTGAAGAGGCATCGTCTGTGAGCTCGGCTCTGATTGGATGGTGGACCAGAGGCTCGTTAATCCATTCAGCCGACGCCAGGGCTGCAGTCCAATAGTCCGTCTGTCTGTTCAGCTTCAGGTCACAACCAAACTCTTCTTCTCTTCCCTTCTTCGGCTCTGCACCAGTTTCCCTGCATGCTAGTGAAAAGGTTCTTCAAAAGCTTCCTTTTCTTATCTCCTAAAGGAGATGATGCCGTCCCACAATGCCTTGCGACTTGGACCCACGTTCAATAACGTCCAACTGCTGCTTCGTGTTCACGTAGCCCGCCTAGTGTCGGCGCCTTTTCCTAAGTCCTTATGAATCCTCCTTAACATCCTTTCTTGTCCTCATGAGGTTGTGATCAGGATTATTTTGGGAGTTTCTTGGACTATTTGACTGCAGCTCAGGTTCGATTCCCGATGAATGACACTGAGACGGTTTTACGAAAGTCTTTGTCTCGATGCAGGTCTCGTGAACTCCCATCATGGTTTTAAATTGGGACCAAACCTCCACTTTCAAAATGTCCCGGAGTCTCTTTGAAGTTAAGAACTGGACCTTCTCAGACCTCGTTCACCGGAGGAGGAGGAGGCTCTTTGCTTAACTGTAATATCCAGTAACACTCATCTCTCTGTGCAAACGTCTAAAAGTCACGGCCGCTTTACGCTCTTCGTCCCAACGCGTGTAAATAAACGTCCACATCCAGAAGCCATACTGAGCATCGGTTCAGACGTTGAACAGTCCTCCTCTTTATTTATTCTGACTCTAGTTCCTGTGGAGGCTTCAGGCTGCACACCGTCCTCATCCTGTGAGCTTTCCTTTGGTCGTAGTGAAACACAAACCGACATGTTCGTATCATTCTGAAGGCTTAGAGGCACAAATAAAAACATTTTGAAAACACTCAGAGTCTCGGAGTCCTTTTTATTAACGGGGCGGCTTTAGTGTCTCCTTAATTCATGTTTCAGTTCCAGGCTGAGAAACACACGAATACACAATAACAACACAGACGGACTCTGCTGGACTCACGGAGAAACAAGGATAATTAATCGTCAATAAAACATTCTAATAGTTTATTATTGTTTAAGAAGTAAAAACTGAAAAGTCTAAATAATCAAACTCTTTGATCTGAGACTCAATGAACCGTTTATTTCATTAATTTAATCTAAAGCTCAAACTCATAATTTGTATTAACCGACTTAATCATAACTTTCACTTAATGTTTTCATGAAAACATTTTAAACGGAAAAAATAAAAATTAAGTTATTTATTAAAATACTTTTACTAAATAAGTAATTTAACTGCTTTATTATCACATTTTTAAGACAAACATTTTTGACTTTTGGTTAAAATTTCTCAAAGAACTTTTTATAATCAACTGATCATTTTAACGGATCATATCGTTGAAAATAAAATCTAATTTCACGTAAAAACTGAAACATTTCGAGCTCTTAAATCATTTATTTGTCTCGATATGAACACGACACCAGTTTTGTTTGTCTTTCATAACATTTAAAACATTTGTTCTTCATCAGATGAAAGTATTTCATAAACTGACATGCTGCGTTCCAGTTCAGACGTAAAATTGGAAATCCCACAACTTTCCTATGAAGAAGCTCGAGGTGACACGACTCGTAAACAATAATAATTCAGATCAAATGTTCCACAGCTGATCAGAACCACAGAAATAAACTCTAACGACAAGAAAAACAAAATATAAGTTAATATGAAACATAAACAAAACAACTAAAAACATGAACTCTAAATATATTTATTTTACCGTAAAAGGCATTTTTATGGTAAAATATTTCTGGTTCTGTGAATCTGAGTCCGTGTGGACCAACATTAGAGTCCAGTCCTGCAGAGTCCCGGTTCCCAACAGAGTCCCGGTCCACCGCAGGATGAGATGACCGTGCCGGATTTTACTTCCAGCTCGTCACTGATTGGCCACAGGCGGCTCCTCCTCTTCTTCTATTGGCTGGCTTCCGAAGCCGCTGTCGACCGTGGCATCTGATTGGACAATAACAATAAACATGAGGTGAAAGTGGCTGCAGATTTATTAACACATGATGTGGAGACAAACTGCTGACGTGGAGCTTTAACACATGATCTCATGAAGTATTTATATAAATTTAATGTGTGAAGTATTAATGTGTTCTATGAAGGCAGAGAGAGGCTGCGTTACCTGTGCTGAGTTTGTCGTCTCGTAGCTCGCTGGTCCTCAGCAGTCGGACTCCTTCTGTCAGACCGAGAGACTGAAGAGCTTCAACCAGACCTTCTACTGGACCTCCACCCAGCTGGAGACACCAGAGACAGGTGAGACACCAGAGACGGGTGAGACACCAGAGACGGGTGAGACACCAGAGACGGGTGAGACAGGTGTAGCATGTTACCTGGTAGTGCTGCAGCAGCTGGTGACAGGGCGTGGGACTGTCCAGGTAAAGGTGAGTCAGCGTCATCATCCCCAGCTTCTCTGCTAGTTTCCTCCATGGAACGTCTCCGACACTCAGCAGCTCCACTAGCCGGGACAGCGTGTCCTCGTCCATCCCCGACGGTTCAACCTCTGGAACACCGACAGGTCGTCTCATCGTCAACGTCTTTATTTCAGAAGTTTAGTTTAAGTTTAAAATAAAAAACGAACCTTCACTGCTGCTCGGCTTCATCTTCTTACTGCTGTGAAGACTCGACCTCTGACTCTGTCCACAGTTCAACAGGTTCCTCACCTGAGGAGAGGAGACAAGGAGAGGAGATGAGGGGAGACGACAAGGTGAGGGGATGAGACGAGACGGGACCAGGAGACGAGACAAGAGGAGATGAGGAAAGGAGACGGTGAGGTGAGGAGATGAGGAGATGAGTATCATCTTTGTCTCTGGATTGATTCCACAGTGTGAATGTGTCCTGTGCTTTTAATTTGAAAGGATACCTACCTTTTGGCACTTGGCCAGGTCCAGAGGGGTGTGTCCTCCTGCCGGTCTCTTGCGGGGGTTGATTGGCTGAGAGCAGGCCTCCCGCTCTCTGATTGGTTCGTCTTCGTCCAGCTCTTCATCTGAAGAGGAGCTGAAGAAGAGCGGCTCGTCGTTCTCCACGTTTTTATCAGCGCCTGAAGAAACAGGAAGTATGTTTGTCTTTGTTCTTCTTCTACAGATGTTTATAATAACATTAATATTAATGTTAATAATATAATAGTGAAGAATATATGATAATACAACAGTCACAGTTTGAATACTTTTACTACATTTGATTGATTGTACTGACATACGTTTACTGAAGGAACATTTTACTGTAACAGAGTATTTTTACTGTGTGGTATTAGTACCTTTTACTGAAGTAAAACATCTGTGTACTTCCTCTACAGGTGTGTGGAACTCAGTGGACACTTGCTAGAAAGCTTTTTCAGTTTTGTGTCATTTTGTTTCTTTTATCATTTGTTTTGCTGAAGAATGATGAAATGAGGTGAAGTGATGACGACTGAACAGATGTTTTTATTTCCTCTCACCTGCAGCCACGAGCATCGAGCAGAGAGTCGGTGAGCCCAGACTGGCAGCCAGGTGGAGAGGTGTGTTTCCCCCAAACGTGCTCGCGTTAACGTCCGCCTTCAACTGCAGACGAACAGAGAGAGTCACACTGTGATGTCACTGAGGAGCAGGTGTACAGGTGTGTACAGGTGTGTGTGTGTGTGTGTGTGTGTGTGTGTGTGTGTGTGTGTGTGTGTCGTACCTCTGTGATGAGAGTGCAGGCCACCTTGAACAGGTTTTCCCTCACGGCCAGGTGGAGGGCAGTGTTTCCACTCTTCTGCTCAGGTGCATTGATTTTGGCTCCGCCCCCCACCAGGAGGCGGAGGCAGCGCTCGCCGTCCCTCCTCACGGACAGGTGGAGAGGATGGAGACCTGAGAGACGAGAGAGATCCGAGAGGTCAATATACAGTTAATGGTAAATATTTCACAGTTATGATTATTATAAAGCATTGAGGTAATCGCTCTCTCACCGTGGTAGTCGGGGGTGTTGACCAGGTGGGCGTGGCGTTCTCCCAGGTGAGCCAACAGGGGGCGGAGCGTGGCGGTGTCTCCGGCCAGCGCCGCCAGGTGGATGGGACTGCGACCGTCTTTGTCCAGCAGGCTGGGGTCGGTCCCCGCCCTCAGCAGCACCTCCACCACCTTCACCTGCCGGGTGATCACCGCCAGGTGGAGAGGAGTCTGCAGGGGAAGGAGATAGTGGGCGGTGAGATGGAGGGTTCTTACTAGTTACCTGGGATTTACAGTAGATGCCTGTGTCGAGTAACCTTAGAGTTAGCTAGTTGGAGGTGGTTAACTTTGCTTAGATGGAAAAAGTTAGACACCTGTTGTGGTTAATCATATGAGTTTGTTAGCAAGGAGCTAGCAGGGAGTTAGCTACTGTTAGTCAGCTTCATTTTGGTGTCATAGTTAAATGACGTGTTGAGAGACTACATTTCTGATATAATGAGCTCTGTTGGCTTGCAGTTAACAACTTGTTGAAGGTAGTTAGCTGCATTATGGTGAATTAGTTGCAGTGAATATGGTATTAAGTTCGGTTCATTGTTATTTGTCTGTCGCACGTGGTGAGCTTTACTGAGATGAGTTCTCATGGTTAGTTAAGGTCGAGTGCTCTGTGGTTAGCGTTGATGATGCTAACCTGTCGGAGGTGGTTTGCTGTGTTGAGGATATTTTGCTGCTGGCTGCTGAGCAGCGTGTGAATCAGTTGCTGGATCACACCTGTCTGCTGGTGAATGATGGCCAGGTGCAAAGGACTGTGGGAGAATAAATACATCAGAACATCCAACCTTGAGCAAATCTTGAAAATGATAAAACTTAAAACACTAAGAATCAATTTAAACATGTTTGTCTTTTTGATGTTGGATCATTCTGTAGAAAAATAAAAGTAAAAAAAAGAAGTAAAAATCTCACGTGTCTCCGTTGCCGTCCTGGACGCCACAGAGGTGTCTCTGGATTGCCAGAAGGACCCGAGCGTCCCCGGTGCTGCAGTACTGCAACAGGGCAGCAGCCGTCTGTCTGGCGCTCTGAGAGGCTCTGCTGTGGAGGGCGGCGGCTAGAAACACAAAGCAGAAGATTAAATAATAATTAGACCTTTAACACAAGCAGCGTCACATCGTCTGCAAAGAATCGGAGCAGGACTTTGTAGCTTACCGAGCTGAAACAGCTGCTGTTGTACTGGCGAGCCAGTTGGCCCTCCCGTCTGTCCGTCTGTCTGTTGCTGGGGAACCCCTGTCTGAGGGTTGGAGCCTGACATCTGAGCCCCTCCTGCTCCACTGAAGCCTGTGAAGCCTTCAGTGAAGAAAACTCCTCCTCCTCCTCCTCCTCCATTCATCTGCTGGTTGAACTGGAATCCTGCAAAAGTGAAACAAAGTCCACAGTGAACTTCCAATTTGCCAAGTATAAAAATGTTATGGTTAGCTGCTAAACGGCTAAAGCTTGATCCCAAACAGTTAAAGGAAGAATCCAAACATCTAAAAGGAAGACCCCAAGAAGCTAAATGAAAAGTGTTTTACCCAGATAAGGAATACGTATAATTCCCTAATTTGAAGATAATTGTGTTTCAGAGGAAATTGCTTATATCTTAAATTAAATGACTACCTCCTCCTCCAGCTCCTCCTCCAAATCCACCAGCTCCTCCACCTCTTCCTCCTCCTCGCCAGGATTCATAGTGAGGCAGTGGCTTCTGCTTCTTCCTCAGCACCTCCTCTTTGTCTGAAAGAGAGCGGTGATGAGAAGAAAGTTCTGACATTAAAGGTGATAAAAGCAGAAGTGGAAACCCTGAAAACATGTCCTAAACGTTCCTCTATGAGTGAGCAGGTGAGGAATGATAAACATCCTCCTATCACCTCGTACTGAACACCTCATACTGGAAGTGCATTTGTTCCATCTGATGTTTATGGCTGACCTTGGACCTGCGGTATGTAGGTGAACTGTTTGGGGTCACTGCTGTCGCCGGCCTTTTTCCTCTTCAGCTGCAGGAAGACGGTGACGGGCCTCTTGATGTCTGCGCTGTGATAGGGCGGCGTTTTGAACACGATGGCGTACTGAGGAGACGATAAACACTTTGTTTGTCTGAATGAGATTTACACTGATGACACAAACACACTGAAACCTGGATTTAAGTGTAATTCTGCTGCACAAAGGCTAGTTTCAAAAAGATAAGATTAGTGCCTTCTAATTTAGAAGATCCCAAACATCTACAGGAAGATCCCAAACATCTACAGGAAGATCCCAAACATCTACAGGAAGATCCCAAACATCTACAGGAAGATCCCAAACATCTACAGGAAGATCCCATCTCACACAGTAAAACAGTAAAACTCCGTACCTGTTTGTGAACGTCGGTAGGTGAGAAGTCACCGAACGCCTCCCAGCCTCCTTCGTCATCCTCCTCGTAAAAACGGATCTCAATGTCATCTGTAGCGTGCAGCAGAGAGGAAAACTCCTGTTATAATAAAGTCCTCAACCTCTGTCCACCGTCCACCAATCATTTCGTCTGATTTACACATTTGCTAAAGTCAAATGTTTTCACCTTTCTGGACTTTGTCGCACAGCAGGAAGATCTCGTCTCCTCCGAGCACCGTACCGCACGTCTTATCCATCCGAGAGATTTTCAGGTTGGAGGCGTTTGGTGACTCTGCATATAAAACATGATTCATCAATGGAGTGTGGAGTGTCGGTACCAGCAGTGAAGTAGTCAGAGTTTAGTGGAAGTACTGCATTCAAATTTGTATTAATTGTCACTAAAAGTGTCTCAAAGCGACGGTTTCTAAGCGTTGGCACTAATTGGTTGCAGCTCTTTGAGTGAACAGTCAGATTGTGTGACGTTTGGACTTACTGCTGTCGTAGATGGGGTTGGAGACGACGGGTTTCAGCCCTCTGGTGTACCCTCCGTTGCTGTCCTGGAGGTAGGCGGTGAACTTTAACCTGACGATGTTCAGGTCCATCACCTTCCCCAGCTCCTTGGCCTCCTTCAGGATGCCGCTTTCTTCTGAATCTGAAGAAACACCGACAGCAGAGCGTCAGAAACCCTCCGTGGACACCTCAGACAGTCCGGGAGGTTTAGTTTCATATTTATTGTTTTATTTTTTGCTTCTACATCCTGATGAAAGTGTAGCTTTTCTGGTCTTTATTGTGATTTCACAAAGAAAGTCGAAGCTGTTGAAATGGTCTTTGTTGTGTTTTTGATTTATTGTTGGAGCAAAGATTCCAAGAACAAAACACATCAAATATGTAGCATGAAATTACACAATGAGAAAAAAGGTCAAGCTAAAACCATTCATGTCTGTGAGGTGACAGTGTATTGTTTTCAGGTGAGTCTACCTGTGAGGTGACAGTGTATTGTTTTCAGGTGAGTCTACCTGTGAGGTGACAGTGTATTGTGTCAGGTGAGTCTACCTGTGAGGTGACAGTGTATTGTGTCAGGTGAGTCTACCTGTGAGGTGACAGTGAGCTGCTTTCTGTCTCTTCCTCTCATCCCTCAGCCTCCGGCCCAGAACCTCCACCACACCTTTCTTGGTCACATGGAGGATCCCCAGGTTACTGAATCTACAGGAAGTGACATCACCAACCAACATCAGAATATTTTACATTTTACAACAGTAAAATATATTTTCTCATTTCACACATACTGTATAAGGTCTTTATATATTTTGTACATTTATCATTATGTTCATTATGTTTTCAACACCTGACAGTTTGACTCAGTTTGATGTCATAAAAATCATTAAAAAGTCACAGTATAGTGTGTGAAAGTCACAGTATAGTGTGTGAAAGTCACAGTATAGTGTGTGTGAAAGTCACAGTATAGTGTGTAAAAGTTACAGTATAGTGTGTGTAAAAGTTACAGTATAGTGTGTAAAAGTTACAGTATAGTGTGTAAAAGTCACAGTATAGTGTGTAAAAGTTACAGTATAGTGTGTGTAAAAGTCACAGTATAGTGTGTAAAAGTCACAGTATGGTGTGTGAAAGTCACAGTATGGTGTGTAAAAGTCACAGTATGGTGTGTGAAAGTCACAGTATGGTGTGTGTGAAAGTCACAGTATGGTGTGTGTGAAAGTTACAGTATAGTGTGTGAAAGTCACAGTATGGTGTGTGTGAAAGTCACAGTATGGTGTGTGTGAAAGTTACAGTATGGTGTGTGTGAAAGTTACAGTATGGTGTGTGTGAAAGTTACAGTATGGTGTGTGTGAAAGTTACAGTATGGTGTGTGTGAAAGTTACAGTATAGTGTGTAAAATTCACAGTATGGTGTGTGAAAGTTACAGTATAGTGTGTGAAAGTCACAGTATAGTGTGTGAAAGTCACAGTATAGTGTGTGAAAGTCACAGTATGGTGTGTGAAAGTCACAGTATAGTGTGTGTGAAAGTCACAGTATAGTGTGTAAAAGTTACAGTATAGTGTGTGTAAAAGTTACAGTATAGTGTGTAAAAGTTACAGTATAGTGTGTAAAAGTTACAGTATAGTGTGTGAAAGTCACAGTATAGTGTGTGAAAGTCACAGTATAGTGTGTGTGAAAGTCACAGTATAGTGTGTGTGAAAGTCACAGTATAGTGTGTGTGAAAGTCACAGTATAGTGTGTAAAAGTTACAGTATAGTGTGTGTAAAAGTCACAGTATAGTGTGTGAAAGTCACAGTATAGTGTGTGAAAGTCACAGTATGGTGTGTGTGAAAGTCACAGTATAGTGTGTGAAAGTTACAGTATAGTGTGTGAAAGTCACAGTATAGTGTGTGAAAGTCACAGTATAGTGTGTGTGAAAGTTACAGTATAGTGTGTGAAAGTTACAGTATAGTGTGTGAAAGTCACAGTATAGTGTGTGTGAAAGTCACAGTATTGTGTGTGAAAGTCACAGTATAGTGTGTGAAAGTCACAGTATAGTGTGTGTGAAAGT